CTCCTTGCCAGGCTTCTAGTATATCTCGCAGTCATCTTGTTGAAGCCGCAGCAGTAGGCACTGTAGTCTTTTGAAAACTGATGCCAGGGGCTTCTACAAAATGGAGACTAATGGTTTGTGATCTGTCCAGAGAATGACCTTCTGAGCATACACATGGTGGTGGTTGCGTTCCATGCCGAAGACCTGAGCCAGCAATTTCTTTCAAATCTGTGAGTACTTCCTTTCTGCCAGTGTGGGTGCTCTGCATGCAGATGTCACAGGTTGAGCTAGCTGCATCAGTACAAAGCCAAGTCCATCTTTAGATGCATCTCCTTAGACTTCAGTTGGGTCACTCTCACTGAAGTACTTGAGTACTAGCGCTTCATGGAGACAGCATCTTTCATCTTTTCGTGAGTCCAATTCCACTAAGATTTCTTATGTGTTAGACCGCGCAGTGGCTCACACAGTTCTGATAGGTCTTGTAGGAACTTAGACAAATACTTTACAAGCCCAGTTAATCGCTGTACTGCAGGGACATCTGCGGGTCGCTCCATCTTAATTATTGCTTCGACTTTCTCAAGATCTGCTTTAAGCCCATTCTTTGTCATTACATGCCCGATGAATGACACTTCACCGTACTTCAAATGGAACTTCTCTTTGTTCAGCTTGATATTTCTTACTCTGCAACGATCAAGGAGGTTTCTCCGATTTTGGTCGTGGTCAAGGTCAGCCTTTTCATCAGTGTTCCCCTGCCCAGTGATGAGTAGAAGCACCTAATGAAATTAATGTGTGGACAGCAAGTTCTACTAACCTCTTCTAGTCCTGCTACAAGTGTTAGGTTGTCTGCGAATTCAAGCTTGGTAAGATCTCGCTTAGGTTGTCTCGTTAGGTTGTCTGATTCGGTAGACCTCACTTATTTAGGCTGTCGAGGAACAGATGCAGAAACTAGTTGAGCACAATAATGAAAAAAAACAGGAGCAAGGGTGTAGCTTTAGTACCCTGCTGTATTGTCAAAGAATCTGGTTTCTTCTCAGGACCAATTGAGTAGTCTCAGTTTCCTCATATAGTGACTTTAACTCAGCATCAATTGGTTAAAGTTGAAGTGGAAGTGTGTCAGACATTGCTTACCTGCTTACAAGTTCAAGACTTCCCTACCTACGTTTTCCACATCACCTAACCAATAAACCCCTCTATTATAGACTCGATCTTATTTTGCAAGAAAACATATTCCAGTGTAGCGAAAAAATTTAACCCTTGGCAGGGCTAATGGAAGAAAGATGACAAATGCTTTTTGTTCTCTCAATGGAACTCAAGTTCAGATGAATTTTGAGAGGTTTCTTGATACATGTAGGCAAATAAGTTCTTATCTATTATATTGAATTCGCAGCTGCTGTGTTAGAAAAAATCCAAACATTGTGCGTACTGCACCTTACAGGAAGTTCTTTTTATAGGTCTTTGACTGGAAAAATGTTTGATGTTTTTGCATCCCTAGTCGATTGTGGGAGGTGGTCACTTACAATGTACAAGAGTTGGTTTCACGTGAAACTGATCATTAACAGTTATTTTATGGGGAAGGGAGGTAGGAAGCTGGATATTTTGATTTTGTCAAACACAAAATGCAGGTTCCATGTTTACTACATTTAGGGGTGGGTCTAGAGGTGGGAATTTTCAGCCACGGGTGGATAAGTCACTTTTGTACCCCATTCTCAAATGCTTCAGCCCACCAACCCCATACTTAATACCTGCCAAATGAAGTATCAACAGGTCCTAATGTTAGTCCATTATCTTTGCAGGTTTTGTACCTAAAGATGCTCTATTCACAAGGGAGGTGAGGTTTTCCATGGACAGAACCCCGTCACAGAACAATATTTTCACAAATTAAGGAACTAGAAAAGGAAAACAATTGCGTCGTGATATTTGGTTCAGTCAATCAACGTTTTGTAGTATTGATATTAACATTAGGAAAGAGAGGATAAGGGTAGGGATAAAATCATAAAGATCTGTAAATGTTTAGTACTTGTATACGCGCGGTACGATGGTAGGTGGTCAAAAGGAAAATTGTATCTTTACTTAAATGTTGGGTTCCTCATAAGAGTCAGGTAATTGTCAAAGATACACCTTTTATTTAATTGCCCCAAATTCAAGATGGCCTTTTTCCTGAAAAATTAATTTTATGGGCGTGATTCCTCAAATTTCTGTCATTCATCGTTCATTATTAAATCAAGTGTCAAAGAATTAACAAACTTAAGGGAAGACTTCATACGGCTGGGATATTTGCTCTCATAACCTTTACATGAAATGGTACTAATTGGGAGGTCAAATGCTAGGTGCTTTCCTTTTTTATTGCTAGCAATTTTGACTTTTTTTGAGACATTTTCCTGATATTTCACTCTGAAATTTGTATCCTACCTATAAATGTCAACCATAAAAAAATATTCCTATTTATGTTTTGTCATAGTGTCTAGGATATAAAGGATATTGCAGTGTTATAGAATTATATATGATAGTTCCTACATGGAAACCTGGACTTAAGTGAGGTTTTAAGTTCTTACCTTATTTTTGTTCAATAGGAATGTTACCCAAGCCCAAGTAAAATAAGTAACTAGGTTTAAGGTTACCTAATAGTTCCAGGGTTGCCACTAAGAATTCAAGTTGCCGGTTAAATACCACAAGTAGGCGGGTATCAAGCGGCTAGGGATTTCTTTTGATTCTATCTTTCTTCTATTTTCGTATGAAAGTAGCTGAGGACCACATTCATAGTAGGCGGAGGAGATACCCAGCCCCCTGGCTCTTAATGACAGCCCTGCCAATACACTGTAAGCATTAACTATTATTATCATTATGTACTTGGGATGGATTCCTTCAATTTAGATCTTAAGAAGGGTTCTCCCTCGTCTTTAGTGCGTGGTGTAAAGCAACTAAAATAAATGTCCAAAATTAAGTGCTCATTAGTATGGTCCGATTGTATTTTATAAATTGGTATTTTTTGTATAACGTCTCCTCAGCAGTTGTGCATGTGTTGCTGTTATTTCTACGTATCTTCATCACCAAGGCTGGTGAAATCACAAACCAAACATAATGTATTAACTTACTGGGAAAATGGCATATCACATGGATTTTTCTTTCAGCCATAAACTGAAAATTTAAAAGAGGATAGCATTCTTTGAATGAACAGATCTTGACCTTTTCCTGGATCAATTGTCCTCCTCTCATACTTACAGTCTCTGAATGTTTGCTTATAGTATAGATGCCAACCTGTGGGGAATCGTATCTCTGTTGCACTTCCTTTTCTCTCGGGATACAGTGGAATCAAGACGTGCATGAGAAAGGCACGATTTTATATTAAGCCTATGGAAGGGTGAAAAGCATGCAGTTTTTTCGCTGATGTATAGACTGACCCAGAGCCACTTTTGTAAGAGTTAACTAGTTGCTTTTCTATTCATCTATAACTGGGGGTTTGACAGTGCCTGTGGTGGATGGCCGTGTTATTATAACGAGTTCATCCACCCTTAAATAGGTCCCCCTGCGTGCCCTCGTACCCTGCTTGACCACAGGCTGTAGGTTGGTGGGGAAGCTAAGGTGGCACCGACTTTATAAGCCCCATTTATATGAAGAAAAATTGTCCCGGGAAAAAGGGTCTCTCTTCCTTTAGCGATCAGTTTTATGAGAATAAAACTAACCCCTTTGCCCAAGCAAACAGCGCGTGCGCATGCTCTGATTGTTGAAAACAGCGGTCGCGCTAGCCTGCGAAAACAGCCGTTTCTTCTCGCTCCTCGCCGCTTGGGACGTTTCGCGGGAAGAAACGTCTGCGTCTCAGTTACAGAAATTCCAGACTGTTGACGTAAATTAATGTTTACATAATATATCCAGTAGTCATGGGGTTCCAAATGCAGATTTGTTCAATTTTACGTTTCTTTTGGTCGATTTTGGTAAAGTGTTTTGTTCATCTGTAAACGAGCTCCAGAAAAACTTAAATGCTTCTTCTAGAGAAGAATATAATCCACAAATATTGACGGTTTTGTTATAGATTCATCGCGTTTAAATTTGCCCTTTGTGGCCTTTTGTCTTTTGATGTAATTCGTAAACAATGGCTGAAACAATGTAACTACTCTGTCGTCCAATCAGCGCTTATGACCGGATTCCGGACAGATTTTACGTCATCAGAATGGAATTTCTGTGGCTGAGTCGCAGACGTTGCTCCTCGCGAAACGTCCCCAGCGGCGAAGAGCGAGGAGAAACGGCTGTTTTCGCAGGCTACGATCGCACATGCTTTCAAAGTGTTTGTGTGGAGAAACGATGACCTCCTACCATCGAAAGGGTGATCGGTCAAGGCAAGGCACCCTTCTAGTCGAACGTAAATTTATGAAACGTTGGTGCTCAGGGCGGCTAAACCCTTATACCCCGGACAACGTTTCTACATATAAACGAGGCCTTAAATGGCTTACCGGTAATAGGTATCGTGTCGTAACCTGACCTAAATATTGACTTTCCCAGTTTATACAGGAATAAACGGCCCTAGCGTTTGAATCATTGGGGTAATCCGTTGTCCATGTACAAAGTACATCAAAAGCTGTGCCTCTTTATTTAATTAGTATAGTAAGGACCGAATTGACCTCTCTCTGAGAAGAAACTCATAAAGAAGGGAAGGCATACATTATGGGAATCGTGCATAGTCATGAAGAGGAAAGCAAACTAGAGTTTTTTAGAAAATGTAATATACGCCACTTCCAAATTTCCCATAATTCACCCTATTTGCCCCGAAAAAAAATTTGCATAACCTTTGTTTTTCCTTTGTGCTGGGTATTACAGCAGCCCCAAGAGAAACTAAAAACAGTGCTTATGCACAATTTTAGGGGCAAATAAGGTGCATTATGGGAAATGTGGAAGTGACGTATAGCACGAAACGCGATTTTTCACTCCACATCCGCCATTTGCACATCTCCCATAACACGCCTTGTTTGCCCCCGCAAATTTTTCCATAACCCTTGCACTTTATTTCCTCTTGGTATTACGGTCGTCCC